ACAATATACAGAATAAGAAATAGATACTACATTGAACCAGACTTTCATTTATTTTTTTAAATCTGTTACATGTGCATCTATTTATTTTAACATGAAATTATTTTTTTAAATAGCTTGAATTTTATTTTTTTTTTCAGTAATAATGATCATAAATTTAAATAAAATAAGTGAAATTAAAAAAAAAATTGTCGTCTTATTTTTGTTGTTGCCACTTCCGATGTAAGTACTTGAAAACAAACAAAAACTACCGAATGAAATAAAATTGTTCTAATTGTTCTAGCTTAAAAAAAAGTTTACATGTATGTATACCTGATGTGTGTGTGAGAGAGGGAGAGAGAGAGAGAGAGATGTTACATTAAATCGAGTTTATAAATACAATGTGAAATGTGAAACTTTAATGAAAAGGCGAATTAATATCGTATTATGAAAAGAAATCTCTATTTCTTTTTTTTTCTTTTGCTGTTTATTTATTTTCAGTAACTCGAAAATATAATATTTTGGTACTTGTGTTGTGCATAAAAAAGTTCAAAGGTTTTATTAGCTTTATCTGCAGTTTTTAGTCACTTAAAAGTCAAATATATGTAATCCTTGTCATTCATAGAATCTCAGCATTTCTATTATCAATCTAAAACTCGTTTTTTTATTGAATTAATAATCTCAGTTATCAGTTTAGTATGATATTGCTTAACTTGCTGTTGAATTATGTAAAGGGGCTGATTTTGTTATTTGGATTTATTGAAATAAATCTTGTTAAGATCAAATTGTATTTAAACATGCATTGTACAAATTAAATTAAATGCTAAAAATATACTGCACACAAGACTAAGAATATGTTTGCAAGTTTTTATTTTTGTGGCAGTGCAGGAGACCGGGGAAGAGGGCCAGGGTCATTTTATATTACTGGGACCTAACTACTTTACAGTGTATCTGTAAAGCTTTACAAGAATAAGCATATCCAAGTCTCTGGAATGGGGCAAGAATGGAATTTTTATATTGTAAAAACTTCATATACAATAACATTTGAAAACAATAACATTAGAATTTCATACCATAAAGAAGCTGCGAGAAATGGGGGGGGGGGGTCTACACACACCATCACATAACAATATTTACATGTACCTAAATGTTTGCCACATCGTAAAAATTTGTCATTTAAAAACTCAGCCAGTCAAGGAATATTATGAATCAGTCGCATTTAACTGACTGGATATATAAAACTTAATTTTTACACCCCCCCCCCAGCCAAAAAAATTCTATTAATTAATCTGTATGTCATTGATTCATAACGACAACATATATATAACTATTTATGGTTTATTTCTTAGAAAAATCTATTTGATATTAATTAAAAAAGAATGACATATTGATTTCATTCAAAGTTCGGATAAAATTTGTTGAAATGACAATAAAATACCCGATATCTATTAATACCCATGTTCTTCTAAAACCATTTAATTTTTTACAAAATCAAACAAAATCGTTATTCTAGGACGCAATTTTTCTCATGATTAACTAGATTTGATAGCAGTTAAGTTTCCAGTTCCAGGCATGTGGAGCTCATGATCACTGTTTGTTTTGAAAATGACCCTGCTCATATACATGTACGTAAGGAGAGAGTTCAAGGTGCAAAAATAAATTGAGGAATTATGTCAATATTATATCAAACCTAACCAAATGACGTATCTGGAGGTTATGGGGTTGGTGGTGGGAAGGCATCCCCCCTGCACACCTTAAATGTAGGAAGATTTTAAAAATACCACAACCCTCTTATACTATTAAACTCATGTTAACTACAAGTATTGCATGTTTCTGTCATTTAATGTTTAAACCCCCCCCCCCCCCACACACACACAATCCAACCACTGGTCATCCTGGATCTGTTCCTTTCACTTTAAATGCATGTGAATTATAATTCATCCATTTGTTTATACTTTATCAACCTGCTTACTTAAAATTAATTATTCAAAAGTGTTCCTTGCTGTGACTGAAAAAATGTGTATCATTTCAATTTAAAAAAAGAAGTTTTATTACCACATGCGGACAGAAGTCCTTCTGATTTTTTGTTTGAAAATTTTTTTATCGAATATTGCTTAACATGCAGTGTATCAACTTAACGTCCTTAAATTGTTGTACAGCGTATACGGTAACTCACTACATTTCACAAATTTTCTGTCTAATTATATTTAGAAAACAAAAACAAAAAACAAATTTTCACTACCCAGCAGCATCTATTTTATTGTTGTTCCCGAGAATTTTTTTGAAATATTTTTTAACTTCACATTTTGAAAGAGATATCGTTTATACTGGATTCAACCCCCAACCCCCCCCCCCCCCCAAAAAAAAAAAAAATTGACATCTTGTCCTATCGAGAGCCATGCTTAAAATGAGATGATTTTCGAATGAATTCTACAGGTTTCTCAAACGATTATTACATGAGATAAATACTTTGGTTTTGAGAGAATAAATTGATATTGAACAGAAGCCGCTTGCTTCTCGGGTTTTCCTGACATTCCAGCATAGTGAAATGTAAAACAAACAAACGAACAAACACGCATAATTCTATACACAACTGCATGATGGATAATAGTTAATACAACTATTCATTATCATATTATACAATTATTAAAAGAGACAGTGTCTCAAAAATGTTTCTGGAAATGCTCAATAACATACATTTATTACCGTAGTAACATTACAATGCAAAGTGAAAGTCATGTTCACTCTGAAAACTTTTGATGTTGGTGCGAAAGTAACATGACGTCACTGTTTACCTGTTAAAGTATCATTGATATAAATGAAGAAAAAACCTACTTAGAGTTGACGTAGGGTCATAAAAATTCAGATTTGACAACTTCTAACCTTGCTCTATTAATATCCATGAAAAACTTAAAATGTGTAAAAATTGCCATAAGGGCCCTTTTCCCATGGGCGCAATCTTTTGTTTTAGCCAGTAACATAAGATGTTATATTATGACGTCACTGATCTTACCTATTGGAAGTAATTAAACACATCAAAAAAAGCTTCGATGCAAGGGATTACCTTATTTATTTTTACATAAAAATTGTATAATGCTAAGAAGAATATTCTATAGATTAATAAAACTGCTGAACAAATCCTAGGCATTTTCTCATTTGATCGGAATTTGAGGAAACTTATACCGGACTGTGCATTTCTACCCTTATTCAACTTAAAACTTTACAAATAGAAACTATACAACTGAGCTGTTGATATTTGTGCAGCAATACCAGCAAACTTTGGAATATTCTGCTTCTAAATATACCTTGTTTTAGTTAAATAAAATAGAGCATGCCCTTGCACCGAAGCATTTTTTTCGATATCCATTATAATCTTGTGTAGTAAAGAACAATGATCTTATTATATCATATTATGACGTCATAATGTGTACTGGCAATCTCATGTCATGGGTTCCAAGTATGTACTAGACAATAAGTTTTAACTTTCTCTGTATAATAAATATAGTCCTTAGGCATTTTAATTAGATTATTTGCATAGAAATGCCTATACTTAGCCTAAACTCATTTGGTCAAAATCTTTAATTTGAATTCTGTCAATTTCTCTAAATATTTGTCTACAATATGTCATGTTAGGTAAACTTTAAGCATTTAATATCTGATTTTGCTTAAGAATAGATCTTTCTATGGGAAAAATAGATTAATCAAATCAAATCCTTTGATTGACCTCATTTTTATGATCATAAATTTTTGTTTTATTTTTTAGATTGTGTGTTTTTTGCAAATAGGTAGGTAGGTTTTTGAAAGATAGGTGGACGCTAAACAGCGAAAAAACTTGAGTGGCCTTAGAGATGTTACACAAAGAATGGCAAATAATCTACAAAGTTTAACTGACCTCATCCCCTAGAACATAGACTCCTCACAGTAAAAAAGTACATACATGTACATACAGTCGTTTGACCAGTTCCGAATTTTGATCAGTTCCGACTGATAATTAAAAAATTCAAAAGTCTAAACATAAATTCATACATATGGTATGAAGGCTTATCTATGAATGTTAGAATTATGTAAAGTTTTGATTTTTTGCCGTCAGATTGTGTCCGCTATCGTACTTGAAACAGGTGACATACTTTTACAATGCAACAAATCTGAATCACTGCGATGCATTTGTCTGCAGAAAAACGTCTGTAAAGACGTCAATTTTTCACATAAAACAACATTTCAACTATCAAAAGTAAGTTTCATATGTATTTTAACAAATACCAAAAGGTTGCTGAAAATGAATAATTAGACCACCGGAAGATATTGGAGTATTTTCGTGTTCTCATTTTACTACTTCCGAATACCCATTATTAACGCTATATAATACGTTAGTTTTCTGTTATTTCTTCATTGTAAATGTGACTGTTATTTCTCTTTATCATTTGGAAATACCACTTACTTACTGGTAAGCATTTATTTTAACTTTTCCTAGGCATGTCAATTGATAACATGGGACGGATATTTTTAATATAGGGTCGAATTGCATGGGAACCTCTAGGGTATTCTGAACTCATCGGCTTATTCTTAACTAGTAAAATGAGTACCCATGTTAACTTGCTAAAATAAAAAGTTTTTTTGAAAGGCTGAACTTTTATGAAACAACATTTAATTCTGCAAGTCATTAAACTACTTTGACAAACAAATTAGATTTTGAAATAATGCCGTCATATATTTATAGCACCACCTAATCGGTTCCCTATTCGCAACTGGTCAAACAACTGTATATTCATCTAAAGTCTGAGCTCTCTGGCTTCTCACAATTAACCTACAAACCAATGAAACAGACCCCCCCTTCAAAAAAAAACCCCATGCACTCCTCCGACAGTTTGACTTTTCACAACTTACAAACTAATGAAACCGACTCTTCACCCCCCCATCCCCCCCCCCCCCCCCAATAAGAGAGAAAACCACACACATACTCCTTACACAGTTTGACTTGACAATGTCACAAACCTCACCCTTATGGTAATTGATTCATAACTTACCTTACTTCTATTGTAGTAAGTTGACAAAAAGTCTAATTTTTTGATGTACAAGTCTCTCACAGATTGTCCAAGTCTGTACTCTTGATCCATCCCAAGCTGAAAAAGTCAGGGAATATTAATGATTCATTCATTTGTGGAACATCTATATTTATAAAACTAGTCTTACTTATAAATGTTAGCATGGAAAAAGTAGATAATAAAGTTTTTCACATTTGTATTTAATATGTGAAATGCATGAAAAAATTAAGAGCTCTCAAAACATTTGGCCTATTCAAAGCATTAGTATACTTGTGTAGTAACCCATAATGTCATTCAACTTAATTAGTTGATTGGTCAGTTTGTAAGTGAAGTTAGTGCCTCATTTAGCATGTAAATTTATTCTGACTCAGATATGATAGTTTCCTTGACTTGATTAAGTTAGCTACCCTTTAAAATAATGAATGATTAATAAGAGGCCCAAGGGTCTTAAGGGTCGCCTGAGCATAATGTAACATGGTAATTTAAAGGATCCAAAGATTGAAGTATAAAATAAAACAAAATAAGCATGTGCATGCGTGAACCTAGGGAGTCCCCCCTGATTTTGTAAAGAAAGAAAGGGAAATTTTCTTCGATTTAGATTGTGTTTGATTGCAAAATCAAATGTTTTGATTCAGGATAAGTTTGTGAAAGGGCCAAAGTAGTTTTTGAGAAGATAAATACACATACCCACAAATATCTTCATGAAACATGCACATGTTCATTCATTCATCAGACCGGAATTGAAGAAACCAACTTTCACTTTCACCTTGCTTGCTGTTGCTGTACTACTAATCAGGCTTCTCATTACCTGTGCTCCTGAGTCGCCCAGGAGACGAAGATTAACATCTCATTCAGGTAACATTATATATCCCTCTTTTCACAAGTCAAATTTCGAGCACCTAGCTAGATCAGAGTAGTATAGATCAGTAAACTAGCTATAGTCTAGTATCTTACAAATTCTATGACTGCACACTAGATCAATATGCAGCTGAATTACGCCATCTTGATTCTTTCTATCATCTTACTAGTTGCTAACCAACTGAGTGAAATAAAACCATGCCACTCAGACTCTTTAAATGACAAGAGAAGGTGACAAACCTTCCAAAGGCACAAGTTCCAAGCATTGTCCTAACACAGCTCAAAATAAACAAATGTAGACCAGTTAGTAAGTACATATTTATACTATTACTTGCAAATGCATTTGATACAGAAACAAACCTCGGGCCTAGAACACCTAAATGGCCATGTGGCACTTGCTCGAAGGCTGTCTCTTGGAAACACAAAGCAGTCTGCTGCGATAGTTGTGAAACACGGTTCCACATACAATGTCAACACATACACTCAAATACATACCACCTTTTGGATGCAAGCAATGTATCTTGGATGTGTCTGAAGTGTAGCTCACCCAATTACTCTACAACAATTTTTGACTCCACATACAGTATTGAAACAGAAAATAACTTTGAAATCTTGAGTAAAAGTTCAGTATTAAGTAGTCCAGGAGCACCTACAGCTACTTCCTCCCCAAAATTAAACAATACAGAAAGAGAGAAAAGAACTACACAGAAACCTACAATAAATAAAGCCAAAAGACCTACAAGAGTACTTAACATCAACTTTCAGTCTTTATGTAATAAAAAGCCAGAATTATTAGAAATAATACACTCTACAAAACCTGATATTATTATGGGAACAGAAACTTGGCTAAATAACACAATCCCGTCTTCAGAATACTTTCCACCAGACTTCTATAATGTATACAGAAAGGATAGACAATCAAAGAATAAAGAAAAAAGTTATGGAGGAGTGCTGCTTGCCATCTCCAAAGAGTTTGTTAGTTCAGAAATTTGTGAATTACAAACAGATTGTGAAACCATATGGGCAGAAATAAATATTTCAGGAACAAAAAAGATAACTATAGGTTCCTACTACAGACCTCCCTCTGACGATGGTACATCACTTGAATACCTAAATCAGTCACTAAATAGGATAAATAACATATCAACATCGAATGGCTGGCTAGGTGGAGACTTTAACTTGGGCCATATTGATTGGTCAGTACCATCAGTAGTTGTAGGGAAGCCTGAACCAAAACTACATCAAAAACTACTTGACATCATTTCAGACCATAACTTACACCAAATGACTGATAGAGTTACACGAAAAGATAAGACATTAGACCTTTTCTTCACAACAAATCCAACAAATGTAAATAAACTAACAACCCTACCACCCACTGGTCAAGCAGACCATGATGTGGTTTACATAGAGATTGATATATGGCTTAGAAGGGTGCGGGAAATACCCAGAAAGGTATACAGATTCCACAAAGCAAATTGGGAAAACATAAAATCAGATTTGAAAACAACCCTAAAAACATTAGAACAAAACAAAAGTGTAAATGTAGACTCTCTGTGGAACATCTTTAAAGTAAATCTTCTCTCTTCTATTGAAAACAATATACCTATAAACATAGGCTTCCATGGGTAACAGATAAACTAAGGAAGCTCATAAACAAGAAGGCATATAGTAAACGAAAAGAACAACCAGAGAAATTTAAAGAATTGTAAAAAATTGTACAAAAGGAATTAAGAAAAGCATATTGGAGATACATTGAAAACATCATTTTTGATTTACCAGTAAATGAACCAGACCAATATGAAACGTCACCTAAGACAAAACCTAAAAAAGTATTCAGCTACATCAAAAGTACAAGAACAGAAAATTCAGGGATTGGGCCCTTGAAAAATGAGGGAATCCTAATAAGAGACACAGTGGAAAAAGTGAAATTTATTGAACCATCAGTTTCAGTCAGTTTTTTACAAATGAAACAAACACAGATATACTAGACAAAGGTACAAGTCCCCACCCTGACATGCCCCCTATATCTATTAGCAGTACAGGAATTATGAAATTACTGTCAAATATAAACCCACATAAGGCCTGTGGACCATACAGTAAAATGGCAGGGTTTTGAAAGTCCTAAAAGAACAAGCCACACCTATCCTTACACTATTATTTTCAAAGTCATTAGAAACTGGTGAGATACCTACTGATTGGAAACATGCAAATCTAGCTCCAGCTTTTAAAAAGGGTGAAAAATACAAAGCAGTAAATTATAGGCCAATTTCATTGACTTGCATATGTTGCAAGTTAATGGAACACATAATCACAAGCAACATCACGGCCCATCTAGAAAACAATAACATCTTATATGAATTACAACATGGGTTCAGGAAATCAAGATCATGTGAATCACAATTAATAGATTTTATCCAAGAACTAACATACACAAACAATAACAACATAAAAACTGACTTAATCATAATGGACTTTGCTAAAGCCTTCCATAAGGTTCCCCATCGTCGCCTCCTGTACAAGTTAAATTTCTATGGTATAAGACAACAGACATTAAACTGGATTCACGATTTTCTATCAGATAGAACACAAACAGTAGTTATAAATGGCATTTTCTCCACTTCTGTATCTGTCACTTCTGGCATGCCCCAGGGAACAGTCCTTGGACCTGTTCTTTTTCTTATTTATATAAATGACTTCCCTGAATATCTCCATCATAGTAAACTAAGGCTCTTTGCTGACGATAGTATCATCTACAAATTAAAGAAACAAAAACACCAGAAGACTGTCACAAACTACAATTAGATCTAGAAGCAGCTGCACGGTGGGAGTCTGATTGGCTTATGGCTTTCCACCCAGACAAGTGTACTAAACTCACCATCTCTCATAAGAAACGGACATATTCTCAAAATTATATTCTACATGATCATGTACTTGAGTCAGTAAGCTCAGCCAAGTATTTAGGTGTAACATTACAGTCAAATCTAAAGTGGAACACACATTATGACAATATTATTGCAAATGCAAATAAATCATTAGGATTCCTTAAACGTAATCTGAAAATTTCAAACACAGAAGTAAAATCCAGAGCCTATCAAGCAATAGTGTGCCCTAAACTCGAGTATTGTTGTAGTGTTTGGGATCCACATATGACACTGTATAGACAAAAACTTGAAATGGTCCAGAGAAGGGCGGCTCGCTATGTACATAACAATTACCACAATACCAGTAGCGTTACAGAATGATTAGTACACTACAGTGGCCAACACTAGCTGAGCGACGCCTCAAAACCAGATTAATAATGTTTTACAAGGTAGTTCATCAACTTGTTGCTATACCCACAGACATACTCATACCTACAGATGCAAGAACCAGACAAAATCACACACAAACATACATACACTTACAAGCATCAAAAGAAACATACAAATGGTCCTTTTTTCAACAAACTATAATACAATGGAATTTGCTTCCCCAGTCTGTTGTTCAAGCCACTAAAGTAGAAATTTTTAGAGAACAGCTAACAACAGCTGTTCTCAACACTATCACGTAAAAAGTAACATTTCTTTTAATCACAAATGTAAATAAAAGCACAGTTTTTTCTTTACATTAAGTTTGTTTAGGTCACGCATGCGCACCAGCAAGTAATCTTCAGCGCTCTGAAGTTTTGTTGTAAATAGAAGAAGAAGCTGATAAATGAAGCTATTTTGCCCAAAAGCTAGAAGAATAGGGTGATCAAGGATCAACAAAATAATTAAGTACTAGGTAACAAATCTATAAGTTGATCTATAAACCTGCCTATACTTGCCTCCATTTGTCACTATCTCCATTCAGACTAAACAAAACAAACAGAATGATATTGAGCACTATTGGTAAATCCATCTCATTCCCCTTCACACTGGTCCCTCTTGGTCTTTGAAGAACATTTAATGTACAAAGATGAGGTATTTTTGCCCTACTTTTATTAATCTATTATTTACAAGTATAGCTGAACATTGAAAACTATGAAAGTACATTTTGTATTAAATATTTATAGAATTCTTGTTTAATTCTGTTATTTAATTGACATTTCAATTACATTATTTGCAGTGATTTTAAAATAAGCGTATTAAGTGAAAAGCAAAGAGAACTAACCTTCTTTCAGTAGCTATAGAAATATATTAATTGACAAAGTGGTGCAAAATTTCAAAAATCTGGGAAGAACACCTTTGTTTATTACAAAGTTACAGTATATATTCTGTTTGCCTCCTAGATGTGGGGAGCAGAGAGGAAGATTTTCAAAGAAATAATGCATTTTCACTATAGATTCAAAATGGCCCCCTCCCCAACACCATGGCCCCTGACCCTGGGGCCAAGAAATTCACAATTTTGGAAGAGGCATCCTTGCTCATCATTAGGGCTAGCTGGGACAATACTGACCCTAAGCAATCTGGTATGAATCATGATCGATACTTATTAATTATAAGACACAATACAACACTTCGGAAATCAATAAAACCAAGAAAATCAGGTTTCCAATACATGTATATTCAATATTCAAAATAAATCAGTGAAATACCATTGTAGTTTTCTTTTGAATGATTATTTAGATAACTTTATCTAAAAAAAGGTTTTTTGATAGGCAAACCATATATTGGGTCCAACTTTATAATCAGCTCACAGAAAATTCACAGAAATGCTTAAAATTATTACTACAATCAACAATGACCTCAAGTTCTTAGCTAAAATCATTCCAACATTTCTGTTCAATGATTTATTCCTCAATAAAATATTTTAATAACTTAAATTCTACAAGCTTATCTTTTAAAAAGATTGGTGAGCTAGCGCTGTGGCATAATAAAATACAGAAGAATTAAGATATCTGAACCATTTGTTAAATTTGCTGAATTGATTAATTATTAATAGGAAGGCAGATTGGTGCACTGGGGGTTGAGTTTGTGTGTGTGTGTGTTGGGGGGGGGGGGGGTGTCACAATTCAGAATGGTGAATCTTAGAGTGTGCTTCACGTCGGCAATGGCATAACTCCTAACTGTGCTTTAAGCATTCTGTATTTTACTGTAATTTCAATTTCGAGGTGAAAAATAAAAGGTCAGTAGAACCAATGAGCACTTTCGGGCCTTTCCGGCAAGCTCGGAAAACATATCCGAGGTTGCCGCGGTTTTCCGAGCTTGCCGGAAAGATCCATGAAGGTAGATTAGAAAAGCTATGTATTCATTACAACTTTAGAAATAACAGTTGGTTTTATAAGACCCGAGTTACTGTTACTTTTTGTTCATTTACGTGCAGGTTAGACAACAAAACACGAAACTTCAGATCAGATGATAAACATTAAATTGACATGTCTTTCCGACATACTCTGAAAAAGATTTTTGTTGTTGTTTTTTTTCCGAGCTTGCCGAAATTATCCAGGAAGGTGGTGTAATTGTGAGGAAAGCTAGATGTCTAGAATCCTGGCATTATATGACCTAAGTTTTTCTTGTACTTTTATGTGTAGGTTAGACAATAACGTGAAGTCGAGCATGCGTATTCCAGAAATATAGACTAACGTAGTTGCTAACGCTCGAGAGCGCTAGCAATAAAGTGAAGATGAAACGGGCTGATGACACCAGAAAATGATGGTCTACATTTTGTTAGTGTATCCATCATACTTCAATCGATTGACTCAATAGCTGCAAAATTACGGTGTGTTATCTGTGTTTTATAAAACACAATTTTGTTTATACACTGGCAACTCAAACATTTTAACTTCACATGTTTATTTTGATCTGCCGCCTAGCTTTCTTGGTACTTTCATATTCAGCACAGCTAGTGGACTAAATACTAATAAATTATGACTTTGGACATTTTTGGAAAATGAAAAAAATTTAAAGGCAGCAGATATCATCATGATAAGGGTACTAAGTGTATCGTTCCCTGATTGTGAAAATGGAAATGTCTGTGCATCAGTGCACTGGTGGATCATCCCATCCCTACTCATCATAACCATGCACTTACTATGGTTGCTAATGTCCAGGGGCAGAGAAGAAAATTTTCAAAGAAATAATGCATTTTCATTATACAATCATAAGAACCCCATCCTAACACCAAAACCCATAACCCAGAAGATATGAATTTCAAACTTTTTAAAAAGGCATCCTTACTCATCATAACCATGCAATTAGTTTGTATGCTAAATACCCAAAAGCAGAGAAGAAGATTTTCAAAGAAATAATGCATTTTCACTAAATATTCTAGACCCCCCTCCCTTTCACCTGAATCCCTTCGGTCACAAATTTCAACATTTTGGAATAGCCGTCATTGTTCCCCCGAATATACACTTAGTTTTTCTGCTAAATACCCAGTTGCAGAGAAGAAGATTTTCAGAAAATAAGTGCATTTTCACTGTATAATCGGCCCATGTGACGCAGTAGCTAGAGCGTTTGCTCTAGAGTCACAGAGTAAGGTGTTGACCCTTATGTTGCAGGTTTGAATCCCACTGTAGGATGTAGAGATCAATCCTGCGGATGAGACCATATAAAACAAGGTACTGTGTTGCAGTAGGTGCTGGCATGAAAAAGATCCCATGACCTGAACCTGGGCCACAAGTTTCACAATTTTAGAAGATCAAGGCATCCTTATAATCATCATAACCATACACTTTGTTTACCTGCTTTATATATATATACAGGCTTAGAAAAGAAGATTTTAAAAGAATTTGTGCATTATCACTATATGATCATTACATTCCCATCCTGGGGCCATGAATTTCACAATTTTGGTAGAGGGCTCAGTGCTTATTACAATCATGCAAACAGTTTGACTAAGCAGTCAGATATTCAGGAGTAAAGAAGATTTTAAAGATAGCACTAATTTTCATGGTTTTACCCCACCCCTAAGGCCCCAATGTGGCAGGGACCATGAAATTCAAAATTTTTGTACCCCTTCACCCATTGATGCTAAAATTGGTTAAAATTGGTTGAGTGGTTCAAGAGAAGAAGCTGAAAGTGTTCAAAAGTTTACAACCAATGCACAACCCATCACATGAAGCATGACATCTAGCAATAGGTCACCTGAGTAACTCAAATAACTCATAAAAACTTGATAAATATAGCCTTCATAAATGCAGCCAGTGTCAACACAACACCAAAACTATCAGAATTGCTCATCATACATTCTCCAAATACATTTATCTAAACTGGAATTTTAAATCTACATGTATCACTCAACAAAACTCAGTTTGTTTACTTTTGTTAATTGTCCATATCCCTGTGACCAGTTATATTCTTTAATGGGATCCAAAGGATATCCACGCATGGCACTCCTATCCCCATGTCTGTATACCTACAAAAAATTCAAATCTCATTGAGTACAATGCCAACCAGCATGTATAAGGCTAGACCACCAATCATTTAAAAAGAAATTCTATGAAAACACAAACAAGGAGCCCATGGGCCACATTGTTAGCCTGAGCACATTAGCTAGGAAAAAATAGAAATTAATTCAGTATCAAAAGTTTAAATATACAAGTGGTCCAAAATCATCCCGTCTTGAGAGGGGAGGGCATGAAGTGAAAAAAATTTGAATCTTTACTGACTGAGGATGCTTCCATATGATGACCGTCAAGCGAAAACCACCCTTATGTGCATTGTGGCGTTATCGAGAAAACTAGCGCTAAAGTTGACGTCATAAATGTTTGCGTATTTTGCAAATACTACATGCAGCGAGAAGATGCATTATTATTAATTAAAGTCTTTCTTTATAAAGTAGATGCATACACTAGACAAAATACTGTCTGAGTAGTCATGAGTGACTTTAATTATTAAGACCTGCTGTGTAGTATTTGAAAAAATAGTTAATTTTTTAACGATTAGTTTACAGCAAACTGAAGGTGAAAATCTTATGAAGTAGCAAATGCATGATCTTCGCCCTTGTTTATATTTTTAAGGAGCATTTTTTTTTACTTCTAAAACATATATATGGGGAGAAATCGCATATTTTTTTTGGGGGGGGGGGGGGTGTCACCGGAATATAATTTATGTTATCAGTATATAACTTAATTTGGAAAACAAAGCTATAATTTACAGTTGTATCCCCTCAGTATAATTTTGCCAGTTTATACTATAACAAATGCAGATTTAATTCATATGTGAAGTAATGTATTGATTGGTCGTTCTCTCTCTCTCTCTTTCTTTCTATTTGGAAAATGGTGGGACCATTTGTTATTAGAATCCCCATTATTAGCAGACCTTTTTTTTGTATTCATACGAAGCCCAATTTATTTAAAATTTTATACATGAGAAGCAGAAAACACTTTCTGTGGATTTACACATTTAGATATATCGACGACGTATTATCAATTAGCAACAGTTACTTTCATGCATATGTCGACTCGATATATCCTAAAAATGTTCAATTATCCATCATAAAATTTTAAAGGGTGCAATAAAACTTCTGAAACAAAAAAAAGCATACAAAAAATTAATCTGATCTGAACTGCGTCAGCTTTTTTTCAAGGGGGGGGGGGGGGTCCATAAAAGCCTCTAGTATTAGATGAATCTGAGTATTCCGCCAAGATCTTTACAATTATAGACCATATAAAGCCACAATAAAATTGCCCCCCCCCCCCTCCAAAAAAAAGGAAAGTAAAATGAATTTAAAAAAAGCTGAAAAAAGATTTTAAAAAAATTTAAAAAAAAACAAATTAAAAAAAGAAACAAAACAAAATGAAATCTCTTGTCTGGGATCTCTTTTTAAGGGGGGGGGGGGGGGGGGGGGTATAGAAACCTGAAATTCTTCTGAAATGCACAATACAGCACAATAACAAAGCAATTAAATGAAAATCACATATGTAATGTCATCTGTAGTCTGAGGTGATTTTTCTTGTGCAGTTTTTACAACGCAACCATGGAAATGTGGGAACAAAATAAATAATGTTTTCCGATAAAACACAGCGTCATGACATAGAATTTGTATTTTCTATTTTAAATTTTCACTTGTTTTTAGTTTATGAACAATGACCTGTTATATATCATTTTAAAGAGGAGAAATTTTTCTATCAGGATCACTAAACACCTCAAAATGTAAAATTTTTGACTTAATGGTGGTTTTTGGTTGACGGTCATCATATTTCTTTGACTAATCATGGTTTTGGAAGTTTTGGAATATTTTTTCCTACATGTCTGACCTTCACCCCCAAGGGAAAAGGTTTGATTAGATTTGAATCTACACTACGTGAGGATGCCTCTAAATTAATGTGACAAATAATGCTAAGCTTCTGGATGATTTTTCCTAAATATTCATTTGTATATAATTTTGATCACCTGTTGTGGCCCCTCTCTACTCCTGGGATCATGATTTGAAAAAAATTGAATCTACATTACCAGAGAATGCTTATACAATGGGAAAGGTCAAGGTTAACAAAAACTGATGGAGTTAATAGCTCTCACCAATTTGTATCAGCATATGAAGTTCGATGAAAATATCTTGAATAGTTTCTTTGAAACTGTGCTAACACAAATTAAATTGAGGTCAAGGTCAAAGAAAAGGTCAAGGTAAAAAAAATGGTGCAATTGAACAGCTCTCATCAATATGTATAAGCATGCAAGGTTTAATTAAAATATCTTAAGTTTCTTTGAAATTGAGATAATCACTAATTTAAGAAAAGTATAAAGATCAAGATCAAAGGAAAGTCAAGATCAAAAAAGGTTGATACATTTGAATATAGTCCTAATGAATATTTATCAGCATATAAGGTTTGATAAAAATATCTTGAATAGTTTCTTTGAAACTAAGCTAAACACAAATTTCATAAAAGTGAGGTCAAAGGAAAGGACAAGGTAAAAAAAAAAGTGAATTAATGCAGTTGAATAGCTCTCATCAATATGTACCAGCTAGGACATGAAGTTTGATTAAAATATCTTGAATAGTTTCTTTAAAACTGAGCTATATATTAGACAAAGTGTGATGGAAGGACAGACAGAACAGGATGGAGGGACAGAAGTATGACAAACACTTTAAGCCCTGGCTGTATTCATGGTTGCATGGCATAAAAAATTTCTTCCAAAATTGCATTAATGGTGTGAAAATATTGTACAAGAAGAATGTTATGCAGAGATATATTTAAGAATAAAAATAAAATTTGCCAACCTGCCCCACTTCTTCAGCAAATTTGGATGAGAATCTAAAATTTATTTAAATATACATGACCTAACCATTACAGTTTTTAAAAGCCATAGATCTACATCAAATTAACTTCTCTCACAGTTCTTAAGATTTAAGGTGTGACAGATGGACAGAAGGCTAGACTGACAGACAAATGGACAGAGAGAAAGTGATCCCTAAGTATCATTCTGTTCTGCAGCTAGGCAATACAAAAACAGCTAGACTGCAGGTGTAAAAAATGTGATAGTTATGTGCAGAACATGCTAAAAAAAGATGTGATTTGTATCAAACTCACCAAGGCACACAGCTCATTGGATACAAGTCATATCCAACCATAAACCATGGGAGCTGATCCTATATATACATGATACTATCTGCCTGTTTTTCATTTTTTTGCAAGCAAGATTTTCTCCCACAACCATCAAGTTTATGAGATTGACCCCAAACACGCAGATCAATTTTCAAAAGAGTGGACTGATACAGAAAAACTTGTTAACTAAATTGTTGATGCTTTAAATTTTAATTAAGTTTTAATTAAGTTTTAAATTAATTAAGGCAAATCAATTTTTGACCCTGTAAACAGCTGGTAAATGTATATATATACAGTATATCCCATTTGGAACATTATATCCAGAAGGCTTATTAATATATATAGTGTACTACCTTTCATTTTATATACGTTACATGGTTGTATGCCAACATATGTTTGGCGAATCAATAAATAAAATTTAAATTGAATATTGATCTATGTAGTCACTAAATGTGTTTCTGCAGTAAATTTTTTAACCCACAGTATAAATTAATACTATATGGATCATGTGGATTAAAAATAATATATTACAGAATCAAGGTACGTGAACATAGCCCATTTGTCCCAATCTGCAATAGAAAGTTGAAAACTATCATATAACATTTTTAAAACAGCTGTTAACCTACTGATACCACATGTAAATGATGTATACCAGACTCCTTTGATTAAAGTACAAAAATATTCTATATTTTCCAAATTTATAAGCCGAAGTCAAGTTTGTTTCGAACCTGGTAAACATGGTAAATGAAAGCAAAGTTATAAACCACAACGCTTTACAAAAAAAAAATCAGTCATTATTTCTTACTATGTGTACGAGACGTAGGGTACGTGTAGGAAGTTCTCCATTTGTTGGATGTCTTGCTTGGAAAAGACAAAGTACATAAATAGTAGCAACTTCCAGAGTAACAAAAGTTGGAAAGCATTCCATTTCATTTCACGTTGTGTGTTAAAACATCTTTCTGGAGCAGACTGTACAAACTCAGTTTAAACTTAAAATATAACGTTAATAATCATCATGATCATCACAATATATCATGTTAAATAATGTATTAAACCGGAAAATTATAGCATAACGTGTTAGACCCGGAACTATGCCTAGATAAAGGGAAAAAAACTATAAAACATTTTCTTTTTTATAAAAAGAGTATTTTTTTCTATTTTTTTAAAAATGTACGTAATATATAAATTTAACTTTGCAAATTTGAGTTGTGATTACAGGAATGGATTTACCGCTTGCCGGAAATATCAACGTTTTCATTCAGAAATGTAGATTAATATTGTATTCTACTTTCTGTTTCACGTAAACACATACACACGATTGAGCACTATAAACATTACAGAGATGTCATTGAAGGTATGCCATACAACAATGAAGGAAACATCATGTCTAGAGAGTTTAATTAAGTTCAAGTTATTTTGTGTGTCCCCTCTGATTTGTTTTCATTAAGATGTTTGACTAATTAATGAATAAAAAAGAGAAACGAGAAAAATGTGTCAAGATTAACAGATTGACTAATAGAGGCAGCTATATATAGATCTTAAAAATATCGGAACGACTTTACTTTACCGGTCCCAAGAAAAACGCGCTAAAATACAGTGTCGCCGTAGGTGACTTCAATATATATGAGATCACATGAGCGATCGAAAAAAAAAAAAAAAGTTTGAGGTTTTAAGCCTTTTGGCCCCAAAATCGAATTCTACGGTTAAAAGTTTAGTTTAAAACTTCTTTTTAAACGAAGTTTTTAACCTTGTTCCCTGAAAAAAGTAATAAATATTGTTTAAATTCATTGAAAAGGAGACAAAAAATAATTGTGAACGAAGCGCGTGTGGCGCATGCTTAGTGCCGTTTCTTTCGTACTTAGCCATTTTTTTCATGTAAACAAACCAACGAGATGTCGTTTAAGCTGAATTAAGATCTTACAAAAAATACAGATGCATCTGAATTTCCTAATAAATCTAAAAGAACAAGACACTAACCCAAATCTCTCAGATGGTATGCGAGGTCTAACCCAAATCTCCCAGGCAGATGCTAGATTAACCCATGTGCGAGGACTAACCCTAATCTCTCGAATGGATGTGAGACTAACCCTAATCAGTCGGAAACTTGTGCAAGGACTAACCCTAATCTTTCAGGTGGGTGCAAGACTAACCCTAACCAGTCGAAAATGTGCAAAACTAACCCTAATCAGTTGAGTGATGTAAATCTTACGTCATAGTGCAATGAGCGCGTGGATCTTGGGATCTGGGGACTGGTAAAGTAAAGTCTACCCAAAATATCTGCAGTGCCAAGATACTCACACACACTGTATTAACTGTTGATTTTTGGCGTTAATTGAATACCAAATAAATCTATCTTTCTCTTATTCCCAAAGAATCTTGTATTGAAGTTGTTTTTTTTATTTGACAGATACTATGTATTCATGGATACAGGTAAGACCTCTATTGGGCTAATTATAGATAAAAGATAAATGTCTTTCAGACCAAATTTAATGATAGAATTTGTTCTGTATGTTGACAATGTAGCAGAATAAACAGATGCAGATAATTTATTCAATAGTCTATGATTAATTTTAATCTTGGTATCTGTAGAAAGTAATACCTTGCCTTGTTACACCTGAAACAACCCTGACAGGTCAACCCAGGATTGTTGATAAAAGACACCTTAACCCAAGCAAAATTATAAGACAAACTGGTCTGTCCAAGAATTTTTATATGCAAATGTACAGACAGTATTTAGTCAAAATGGCAGTGAATTTACTCCGACTGTGACAAGGCAATATGAAGAAATCTACGGGCTAATTTCGATGAAAATACTTTAAAAATAAAAAATAATTAACTTTTTATGATTTTTAAAATACTTTATACGATATTCTTGAAGTCTAATTACACATTAAATATGCTTGGGGATGGAGCCATAATATAAGCTTTTAATGTAAGCACAGGTGTGATACTTGTGTACAATAACTCTAGATCTACATGTACATACCCAGAATTTCTTCAATGAAATTGTTTCTAGATTTTATTGCAGCAGTGTGTGGCTGAAGTTTTAGTTTGATGTGTAAACAAAAAGAGCTAGTTTCACTTTATGCATAAAATGGCCCTGTAGATATACCAATTTATTGACTAATACTTTATGTTCCATTTTAAACATCAAGTTAAAGTAGAGACTTAGTGCTTTCATTTCCTATTAAAAATTTTCTCCTTAAAGCCAAGATCTTGGAAAACAGGCTTCATGGAAGTACAATGTTCTTGAATTTTAAGGAAAACAAGTATATTTTAGTACTTTCACAGAAGAGAAATAATATGAGCGCACCCTCTGATCTAAAAGATAAAACATGTTTTGTAATCCTCAGAAATAGTTCTATCATTTAAAAGTTGCATATTTTAGATCAGAGGTTGCGCTCTATATTAAATATAGAAAAATAGCTTTAAAAATTGGCTGTTTTGTAGAATTTTTCAGAATATGAGGAAAATGACGCGTTTCATGACGTCATAATGCATTGACTAGCCAGAAAATTACGTCATTTTTCATAGATACACAGTCACCAAAGGTCTAAATGATATTTAATGCTTTGTCAACTAAAACCAAGCAGTTTCAGTTTTTCTGAAATTCACAGGGCCAAAAAAGGCCCTAAGTGAACCTTGTTCTTTTCAGTAATATTTAAGTCTGGTGAGTAACTGAGCAAGTCAGCTTAAATAGTTAATTCAATTTTTAGCCACATATTCATGAGTTGACCTAGCTGACTCGGTGGACAAGTGCATTGTCATTCTTTCACCAGTTGCACCCTCATCATTGTGTTTGTTAAGAAATTAGCTCTTAAGTTGTGTGTAATTGTCTTCTCTTTCCTCAATGATCATCAATTTACTCTGTTGGTTCGATTGATTGTATGTTGTTTTTACGAAGAATTTTTCACTCATATAGAGATTTCACCATATACTGCAGGGCTCAAAATAATTGATGGCCGGCTGGTCTGGGGCCAGTGAATTTTTAATCTGGGTAGTACATTGTAGAAGGCATGTGCCCTTTGGGTCAGTGTTTTTTTATCCATAACAAAATTCACTCTTGGTCGGGCTTGGTCTTGGTCGGGCTAGTTAACTTGACAGGGTTGTGCTCCCAAGTTCTGTCATTTCTTGATTTGTTAAGTTGTACTATTAATTATTACAATGCCTGTATAAACAAAATAGTACTATTATTGTTATGATTTTGGGCCAGTCTTTTTAAAATCTACTGGCCCACTGGGACAGTGAGAGTACTGAGTTGACCAGTAAAAATTTAAGGTGATAGTCCGAGTGACCAGTGAAAAAAAATGGTTATTTCTAGCCCTGTACTGGTGAAGGGCTTAAAATTTAGAACTTAACTCGGCACTCAGGGCCATTGAGCAGTGAGAGATCTTTATTGTGCCTACGCCTGTTGTGACATGGGTCCTTGGTTATTAAAGTCTCATCCGAAGGACCCGCAACTTTCACTTCAAAGTGCCGAGGGCTTGGCAAAGGAAGTGCAGTTGCTACCTATTTTTTATCGACTTAGATCAGTCCCGGCCGGGGCTCGAACCCACAACTTCCAATCATGGAGCGAAAGCTCTACAGAAAGAGCTACCATGACGGTGGAAAACATTGGAAAAAAATCTTTTAAATTCTTCTGTGTAAGAACAGCAAAGCCATGATTAGTAATATTGATATGGAAGCATCCTGAGGTAGTGTAAATTAAAGTTTGCCCCCCCTCTCCCCCATTCAATACTGAACTGATTTCTGCTTCTTCCTAGCCAATGAGATCAGGTGAGCAATGTGGCCCATGGGCCTCTTGTTTAAATTACATGCAAGAGGCCTATCGGTGGTATTCTGGACGCTAAAAAAAGTCATACAAATGAATAATTAACAGCAAGTAAAAATATGAAATGAATATTTATTTTATGAGCAAATGTGTTGATTTTTTTTATACAGGATGGATGGCATATATATACATGCTTATAAAAGGTTTGGTGGTGCAACTTGAATTTATTTAGTACATGAACAATTGTATTCTCCATTTTGCTTCATGCAACTATATGGGACTTGTTCTTTATTATTATATACTGGCTTGTCCCTAGACACAAATTATTCTAACTATAGTAAATCAGTATGTAAAGTTATTGCTAAAAATTGTAAATTTAGGATGGATAATACAAACAAGCTTTTATAGATATCTTGAAAATAAGTACTCAGGTCATGTTTATATATTAAAGAGTAAAATGAATAAATTTAATTTTCATTCAAAGTTTAACAATAATGGGCTGCTTTTAAGTGACAAAAAGTTGTATAAATTAAAAAGAATGGCGACAGAAAGATAGAATGTTGAACATGGCAGAGAGTTTAAAATTTCTTAATATTTTAGGAATTTATTATTTGCATCATTTACAACCAAAATAGGACCAAAAATATATACCAATCCAGGCATCCATTTTTTTAATTGTATCTTCTGTCCATAAATATTTGATCTTCTGTCCACATATTCTATCTATTTTGTTTTTTAGACAGAATGACCAAACATTCAGAGAACGGACAGGTGCATTTAGAAAAATTATTAAGAAAATTTCAGATCCAGGTAAAATTTATGGATATGTGTATATTATGTTATGTATTGCCTAGGAATAAAATAGTACTCTTACTCTCAATTGAAAAGACTTCATGTTTAATTTTTCTGTAGATGGTAGGTAACAGATAGCTGGCAACTTGGCAGATAAAACATTGTTAATTCATTCAAATTTTTAAACCAATATATATATATATATATATATATATATATATATATATATATATATATATATATATCATATTATATATATATATGTATATATATATTAGGGATGGCAATTTGTAACCGGTTATTCGGTCGGAACGATGGTAATCAGTTAGAAAATCTGTAATCGGTTAGTCGGAAAAAAAATATTTGTGTAAATTTGAATACAATTTCCTGAAAATTCTATTTAAAAAATACAAATAAAGTATTCTGAAATGTTAGCATGCTCATCTATCTATTCAAGAGGATTCGGATATAATTAAGGCTCTCCAGATTGACAACGCGTGGGGGTAATTGGTCACTTTTCGAGTCGTTAATTGCTGTTTAAACACATGTCGTTACACACCCTGTCCTGTGTTTCTTTAATGATTTTAATTAAATGATCATTGACTACCGTGAATTGAAGTATACCTTACCTCTTCTATCCTTTGCAGTTACCTTCAAATTATATTCTCAAACAAACGTCCTAAGTTAAGCGATAATTCAGATTTATAATTTTGATTATGGTGACAATGCAGAATGAACTTCCTTGACATCTTTTCTGAATTTTTTTTTAAAGCATATGCAACTTCAGTTTAAAATTGAAATACAATATATGTAGTATTCTGATCATATATAAATATAAGCACAATGTTACTACATGAACATCTTTATAGTCTTACAGTTTACGCTTTGGAGTGTAGCTATGTCGAGAATTTTTGATACGATTAACCGACTAATCTGTCGGAACGTCTTGAGGTTAACCGATTGGCAATTCTGTATTCAATTGCCATCCCTAATATATATATATATATATATATATATATATATATATATATATATATATATATATATATGCTTGCTTTGGTTTTTTCCTTTTGCCTTTTTTGCATTTTGCAAGATGATGAAATTTGATGATTTCAATTTGATGAGATAAGGAAATTTGCATGCAGTCAAGAAAATCCTGTAAAGACAGGGTTTGACACTAAGACATGTCCGACCAACCAAGCCTAGTAAATGAGTGATCCATATAGATGACTCAAAGTGGTTGATCGGGACAATAAAATAGCAGTTAAACCCTAATTCTGTCTTTCAAATCAGTTTTTTTAAAAAGTGCATAGTTATGATGGGCAAGGATGCCTATTCCAAAATATTGAAATTCATTTCCCCTGGGTCAGGGTACTGGTTTTTAAGGTGGGGTTCTATTAATCATATTGTGATGATGTGATCATATGTAAATAAGCATATATTCTTTTATAAATTATACAGTGATAATGCTCTGGGCATCTAGGAAATAAAATAGTACAACATTGGAATGAGCAAGGTTTTTTTTTACCAAATTTGTGAAATGACCTGGACCACTGGATGAAGTGTGCTCTTGCTGAGCGAGGCAATACTGAGCTTGTAGGAAAATTTTGTATTCTAATGTGAGATGTAAGAATTCCCTTTTGCTATTTATTACTGTAATTACCTATGATTATTAATCACCATGATAAATGTAATTGATAGGTAAATTGCATAAATGAATTATACTAGAATTATACTAGAATTTTTAATGTATAGTACAAAAAATACTTCCATAGTTTTAAATGGACATGCGGATTTGTAAATACCACATAGATAAAAATGGAACAAAAATACCTTATCTTTGAATACTCAATGTTCTTCAAAGACCAAGGGAGGCTAATATGAGGGAAAATGAGATGAATTCTATGCTTAAGCACTACTGATTTGTTTTATAATGTGTGATAATCGTGCCAAATTGGAGTGTATTAGCACTGGCTAATACAGGCAAGCCAGTAATATACTTTAATATGATTTGTCTATTAATACTAGTTAAATGATACTTGCATGATCATCCTATTTCTCTTGCTTTTGGACAAGTACATATCATTAGTTTTTCAGTTTATTTTGCTTTATACGTGTACTTCTATGGATCTTTTACAGTTGTATTATACTCAGGTGACCATTTAGGTCCTTGTTACACATATGCTACATTCAGGCCCTCTTTTCAGTATTACTTAATTTTCTTTTTCTATTCAGTATTTATTTCAGCACCAAATCTAGTACCACCACTAGACAGAAATGATGAGGATGGTGCTACAGACAACAATGGTAAGGCTACAGTTTTTAGGTCACCTGAGTCACCCAGGTGACCTAATAAGTATTGCTATCCGTTTTTTCTGTCATTGTGCTTTAACATTTGAACATTTTCAGCTTTTTCTCTGCAACCACTGAACCAATTTTAACCAATTTTGGCATAGAACATCTATGGGCGCCGGTGCTACATCTGTCTGGTTTTTGAGAAGAATTTTAAAGATTTTCTAATATATTCCTATGTAAAATTTTGATCACCCATTGTGGCCCCACCCTACCCCTGGGGTCATGATTTAAACAAAAATTGATTTTGTTTTTGTTGGTTTGTTTTTTGTTATAATGTCCATCTCGAGAATTTTTCATTCGTATGTAGACGTCACCACTTACCGTTGGAAGGCTGCAAATTTAGACCTATACTTGGCACTCAGGGTCATTTACATGTAACAGTGAGGAATCTTTTTCGTGCCAGCACCTCAAAATTGAATGTACGCTATTTAATGAAGCTTTCTTCTGACCCAGTAGTTCTTGAAAAAAAAGATTTTGAAAGAATTTTTTTCTAAATATTCTATTTTGATCACCTTTGTTTTGAAAAACTTTGATCACCTATTGTATACATGTAGCCACACCCTTCCCCCAAGGGACATGATCTGAATAAAGCTGAATCTACACTTCATAATGAAGCTTTCACATAAGTTTCACTTTTTTGACACAGTGGTTCTTGAGAAGATTTTTAAAAGATGTCACTAAATTTTCACTAATTCTTAACTACAGTACTTTGATTGAAAGAAGACATGGCCCTTCATTTGAACAAACTTGAATCTCGATCTTTATCCACAGATGCTTTGTGGCAAGTTTGGTTGAAATTGACCCAGTAGTTCTTGAGAAGAAGCTAAAATAGTGAAAAGTTTACAGACAGAGGGACGGTCAGACAAAATATGATCAGAAAAACTCACTTGAACTTCCAGTTCAGATGATCTAAAAATGTCAACCCCAACACCAATTATATCGGCACATGATTGTATATAAGAATAATGCAAAAAATAATTTCCAAATAATCTTTACTACTGAACTAAAAAAGTAATATATATATTCAATCTCCAGGTATATGTTACAAGAAAAAAGAATAGGCTGATTTATCAGATATCTCAAGAATTACGGTATCTTGACGTATCATAGTGATGTACATCAATCCTGGACACAATTTTCTGACCAAAAAGTTTTCTCCATACAGTATTGCGAGTAATGTTGTCTTGTCTCCCTCTGCGTGTGTGTTTGTCAATCTCTCTTTCCTTTCTCAAGTAAATATTTGTCAAAACAATATATCGACGACAATATATGCCGACCTTGACTGTACATATTGTCACCGACAACAATATGTGCTGGTGCTTGACTGTACATTTTGTCTTCCATTATGCAGGAGGAAAATGAGGCTCATCTCGGTACATATTGTCGCCTGCGACAATATGTACTGATGGACGACAATATGTGCAGTGAGGGTACGTGTTATCTCCGATGACAGTATGTACAAAATGACAATATGTAGCGTCACAAGGGTGTCTCCTCCAAAATTGTGAGATTTGTGGCCCCAGGGTTCTTCGGAAGTGGGGGGCTCTATCGATTACATAGGGAAAAGGCATTATTTCTTTAAAAATCTTTTTCTCTGCTCCTAGGTATTTAGCAGATAAACCAAGTATATAATTATGATGAGCTAGGATGCCTCTTCCAAAACTGTAAATATCTTGGCCCCTGGGTCGGGGTTCTGGTGTTAGGGTGGGGCTCTATTGATTATATAGTAAACTATGGCATTAATTCTTTGAAAATCTTCTTCTCTGCCCCTGGATATTAAACAGATAAAAGCAAGTATAAAGTTATGATGAGCAAGGGCAACCCTTACAAAAATTGTAAATATCTTGGTTCCTATGTCTGGGGTTTCTGGTGTTAGGATGGGGCTCTATTGATTATATAGTGAAATTGCAGTAATTCTTTGAAAATCTTCTCTGCTCTTTGGTATTTAGCAGATAAACTAAGTGCATGGTTATGATGATCAAGGATGCCTTTTCCAAAATTGTGAAATTTGTGGCCCCAGGGTCAGGGACTCATGTCTGTAGGGGGGGGGGGTCTATTTAAAATATAGTGGAAATGCATTTCTTTTTTGAAAATATTCTTCTCTGCCCCTAGGTATTTAAAATCTTTTCAAAAAGTTTGAATTTCATAACCCTGGGGTCAGGGATTGTATTGTTAGGGCGAGGCTTTTTTGAATATATAGTAGAAATGCATTATTTCTTTGAAAATCTTTTTCTCTGCTCCTGGGTATTATTTATTTTTTTTTTTTTTTTTTTATAGATTTTTGAACATCTGGACCATTTGGTCAAGTGTTCTGGCCCTGGCTAGGGCTCTATTAATTTGTATTTGACTGAGAAAAGTTATTCCCCTTTGCTATTCACTTTTGATAGTTAATCACTGTAATTAATGTATATGAAAGGTTAATAGAATAAGAGAATTATGCAAGAATTTGTATTGTATAATACAAAAAGTACTTTCATAGTTTTAATGATCAGGTATACTTGTAAATAATAGATAAATAAAATTGAGGTAAAAATAACTTATCTTATTAAATTTTCTTCAAAGACCAAGAGAGGACAATGTAAGAAGTTATTATATGGGGATAAAAGGAGCACTAATAGGTTTTTAATTTTTTAATAGTCTGCATGGTGATAGTGATACATGTAGATGGGGGACAGATAAGAACTTAAATTATGAGTTGTAACTAAATACTAGATTAATTATTTTGTTGATGCTGATCATCCTATTTCTCTTGCTTTTGGGCAACATAGCTTCATCAATCAGTTTATTTTTTACTCTATGGATCCTCTAAATCCGCAAGTTTCGAGATTGTATCTCTCCTACAATAGAGGCGCAAAAAGTATCCATATCAGCAAAGAAGGGGGACAGGTTGTTATTGTATACCTATGTGCATAAATAAATGAACGATGGCTATGGCTTTTAAAATTCATTTAATGTTATAGAAAGATGATAATGCTAAGCAATGATCATTTTGATGGTTTTATAAAGCTCTGCTATACATATTTACAAAATTTACTTTCAATTAGGATACTTGAAAACAAAAGAACCGTCATAGTCTTTGTAAGAAAAATAATTCTTCGATTGTACAAACCTTTTCTGAAAAGTTATTGTTTTCTTTGAAGTTATTATAAGGGAAAGTGTCATTCAGAATGAATGAACAATGATCAGATGTGTGTGTATTTATTAGAGATCCATATCTTTTCCCTCGTTTGATAAGTTCTTATCCACTGATATTTTCTCTTGTTCCGATTTTTATTTTCTTTTGTTCCGATTTTTTGTTCATAGAAAAAATTGATGCCTTTGCTTTAGTTCGGTAATTTTTGAGTTGAAGAGTGCATCCCGACAATCAGTTATGATGGTATATCAATGATGTATCCAGTATATAAACATATGATATAAATAACTGTCCCACCTGCCTGTTTACATGAAAACAAAACTCCCCTTCATAACGAAAGAGCGCACCAAGGGAGATAATCTCTAAACTTGCGTATTGTTGTATTATACTCAGGTAACTGTTAAGGCCCTTGGGCCTCTTGTTTCTATACTAAAAGGAAAAAGAAGTGCAGGGTAAACTTTTGGATGTGATTTAATGATAATTTTGTAAATGTATTTTCAATATTGTTATCTGACATTTAGACACATCTTTAATCAACATGTTAAGAAAATCTCATTTGATTTTAAGGAATAATTCAAGAGAAAATGAAACTCATTTAACGGTACCCTCAAAAAAGTGAAATTTAAATTGTAGTCATTATTCCTATGCCTCTTGCGCATCGGTCAGAGCCTTAATACGCCTGTGCATGGAGGTCTTCAGTGCCTTTTTCTTTCTCATAAGGATATTATCTAACCCTCCCAACAAGGTAGCCCTTAGCTGGTCAAGAGGGGCCGGGATATTACAATGCCTTCTTATTCTACAGTCCAGTTAGTCTCATAAATGTACAATTGGAGACAAGGCGATTTGTACGAACACAGTTGAGTAGGTTAATGTGATTTTATTTTTTTTTTTGGGGGGGGGGGGGGGGCTAGAAAGGCTTGATATACCATGGCTACATTTGTTGGGGGTAAACATTCTTAAAAAAATAGGTATACAGCACTCATGTGCATGTTGAGACAAACACCTCCGTAAAGTCAACAAACTTGCAGAACAAACTTGTGCAATCAGTTTCTACCAGGTTTTTAGGTGGAAGTAAAGATCGTCATTGCCTCCTACATTAAAACTGATTTTGGTGGTAGTGACATCGCGATTACGCCAATGGTAGGGTGGATAGCCCTGTCTTGACAATTAAGGCCTCATTATACGCTGATGTTCCCATCATGGTTGGTCAAAATTCCTTCTACTCTTTCTCTGAGAACTGATAAGACATGATAGAAAATGCATAAAAAAAACTTTACAACAACCTATTGTTGCCTTTGTTCGTTCTTATTGTTCGTTCAATTGCTAGACAACATTGAACTTCCGTCAGATGTACCATTTTTGAAAATTCAAATTGACTTTAAATAGCAGAAAACAATGTGTATACCCCTAGAGTACAAACTTGTGTTGCAAAATTTGTTGACAAACCTGCCATCATCAACCTGCACATGCTTTTAGTTTTTTACCACTTTCCCTATGTGATGTCATACCTTTTATGGTTGAGTAATTTTGAACACCTACTTAGATGCAAAGTAAACAAAATACCTCCTACACATAATTTTATAATTTTTGGTCAAGTAGTAAAATGATTATTAAATATTATGTCACCCTGTCTTTCTTTTTCCTTTCAGTATACATAGTATTAATTTGAGCTATGTATGCATGCAGTCACAAGTTTTCAGTGGAAATTTGTCCCAGCATACTTAAAGTACAGTTAATGCATAAAGAAGCATTCTAAGAAATCCTTGTAATTTATTACCTAAGGAGTGAACAGAAATTTTGATTCCACAGATTTATAACTCAGTGAAAAGTATGTTGACAGTAATTACATGTAATTCTTAGTATAAAAACTTACACATTTGCAACAAATAAGTTGCATCAGATCCACCTAACAAAGTTATGAAATTCAGTAGGCCCCATTAGTGACACATGAACCTGTACATGGGAATTCATTTATGGTAGTGTTGTCGAATTGGATGATTTTTAGTGACCAGTTACTCGCTTATATTTCAAATTGAGTACCAGATTACCATGATTACTGTCTCTGGTTTGCTTTAGACCTCTAAATATCATTGCTTGCACTGCACTATAGGCAGCTGGCCTCTAAGTGACCTCTAAAATTTAGGCTCGTAATCAAAAATATTTTAGTAGCCAGTGGAATTTTTTAGTCACCAGATTTTTAAAAATTTTAAAAAATTTTTTGGATAGCCCTGTCTTAAATTTTTTTCAAATTTTTCTTAGACACCAACTTTAAAAACTAATATTAGTCAATATACAAACCCATTGGAGTGAAGGGGGGATGTAAAACTCCATTGTCTCAACCACTGTACGGAGTCTTTTTTAAGAAACTTGGATCTCATGAAATATTCTTTAAACTATAATAATATCAAGAATTGTTTATATGATTTACGTGTACATTTTATGCTTGTACTTACAGTTACCATGACTACGACCTAGTAATGTCTAGACGATATCTTTAATTAATGAGTGAGAATTTAATTGACAAACAATTGACCACATCACCCGTCCAATTTCCTGTGTTTCACAATACATGTACTCAATTTTCAGGTGTGAATAATTATCCGGGGCATCTTATTGCTTATCTGGTCTACCTGAGCTCTGTGTGCGCTGACGCGATTTGAAATTTTGTTTGCACGTGTGCTGTAAAAATTAACAAACATTGTGACAAAGAAAACAAATATGTCCATTGCTAAAAAATTTTCTCCACTTTAAAATTTCTTTTTGCTGTTTCATAAAAAAAAAAAAAAATTGTTGAAAATGTTTATAGTTCCAGAATTTGACAATTGCCAAGTCAACTTAAAATGGTCGCCAATTTGGCAACTTACAGAGAAATTTTAGGTGCCAATCTAAACTTTGAGGTGCCATGACAACTAAATTAGTCACCAATTAGAGCCCTGATAGGTCATTCTTTTACATTTTCGATATATATCTTATCATTTATAATATGGCCTATGTAAAACACATCTGCACTGCATATGCATTTTTTTAAAAAATTATATTAACAAAAACAATATATATATTGCCTTCTGTTTTTGATCCCCTGTTAAAGTTGGCTATTTTTGCAGGGTTATCCATGAATATTGCTGTTTTTATTTTAATGTTATGTTTTTCATGAATTTAATAATTCTGTTTCATATATCTTGCACCTTAAAGATTAAAATTATTTAAAAATACTATGGAATTCATGCTTATTGATGGGTGTGGTGGCATCTTGTTTAATCCTGTACTGCTGAAAAGCAGACTTTTAGTAACTAAGGTAATTATAATTATCTTGGGTCTTCTAAACTAGTATAACCCTTGGCAATCAAAGCTTTCAATTAGATAATCTATAAAAACTACCCTAACTAGTAAACATAATCATAACAAATTGGTCTTATTTATGGAATGCAAGATCAACTCTTTAAATAACGGTAAAAAAATGGGGTACACGTAAACATTAAAATGCAGTAAAACTCGGTTATAGGGAAGTCCTGGGGACCTGTGAATTTACTTCATTATATCTGTAATTCGATCGTTATTTCAGTATAACGAATTCTTTTAAGTATATATAACAAATTCACAATTAATATGCATCTTTTCCTTCAAGTATGACTTACTACCAAAATTAATGTTTTGGGAGGTACATGTATTAAATACAAAAAAAATTTACTTGGGGTACTGAATATTCCTGAGGAATGGAATTTCAAATCTAAATAATAAAAAATTATGTCAAATTAATATTTTGAAGTTTGATATTGAAAAATCATTATAAAAGATGTAATTTTTGTTATTTTAACCTCTACAGGACAGAAAATCAGTTCGCTATATCAGTAAATTCGTTGTATCAGAGTGCGTTATAACTGTAATATAATCCTACGATTTGTTAAGAATTTTGCTAGGGATTCAGTATATTCCTGTTTGTACTAAACAAGTTTTACTGTAAGATTTTTTTTCAATTTATTTATTTCTTAAATGTCTATATAATTATCCAAGTAAATGTCAGAGTAGCAGTTTTACCAATACTCACATCATTCAATGGTTAAACTCATTGACAACACTAATTACTTAATTTGGAAGATTGTTTACGCAAATTTTATCCCAAATTGTTCAGAATTCGACTTCTGAAGTTTAACCTTTACTCCAAAATACATTGTTTATGGCAAAAGTGTTATAACCTCCAGACATTTGTACTGAATGCAAGCCCCAGGCAAGAAATAGGTTCATTGTACTCCTGTGCCACTGTTAAGATACTGTGTCTATAATTTTAGATCAGCGGGGATGGTGGTTCTCTTCCCCGGATGACCAGTACACAGCCCAGGACTACACAGACTGCTGTAAGGGCTACAAGGAATCCCTAGAGATTATTGAGAAAGCCTTCAGAGAACAGGTCTGTCAATCATTTCAGTGAAGAATATAGTATTCATATTGTATTTTACAATGATTAATATCTTTCATTATTGTAACAGTTGGTACCAAATGTGTCTTTAAATTCTATCTCACATGAGCAAAAGGCTTATAATCAGGCCATCTTTCAAAAATTGTTTGTTTGCCCTCTCCCAACCGACTGACTAAAAACAACCCAACTCAAATTTTTTTTAACCTCCAGGAAAAAATTATTTATTTTTAAAAATTCATTTTGAAATTTTCTTGTACCATGAAGAACTATTTTACCTTCATATTTGTTTGTGTTTTTTGAATAAAAAGAATTTCCCACTACCTACCAACCCAATTTCTTTATCCTTAGAAGAATGCAAGCAAACATTTTTTTTAAAGATGGGTTCATACATATATTGAATAATATGTACATTGTCAAGGATATGGTGTGAGCCTTTTACCAGATTGTTTAAATTGTGTTCCGCATAAACGACATGAAACACGGGGTGTACATAACAAAAACAAGAGGGGGGGGGGGGGGATCTACACATATGAAGCACGCCATGTTAAGCTACTTATGAAAATTAAGGGTAAAGGTTACAGTGATCATGCAACCACATAGAGCCTGTTACAATGTACTAGAAATTATAAACAGGGCAGAAACACCTGAAAACACCAGAGGTGGGATAAGGTGACTAGGAGTAATGGAGTATGCAACTGCTGTCAACTGGTCACACCTGCTTTGAGCCCTCCTTATTGATCAGGCAAACTGAGTAAAATCCGCCTGTGATGTCACTCTTTTGTTTGAGAGCTCCATTATTTTTCAGGAATGGAGAGTTGCAAATTACATTGAAAACAGAATTTGTTATGTTCATATTCTCCTTCCCGTACCTCTACCGAGGAAAGAACTTAGAAAATTTTAACAAGTTTATTTTCACATAAAGAAAATAAATGTGGCACTGTTGAGAGTCGAACCCCGTACCTTCACCTTCGCAGTCAGGCACTCATCTCACTACGCTAACGAAGCTATTGAGTAACAACTGATTTAAATAACTTCAGTACACTTTTTTTTGACTTACTTTCTCTCTATGTATAAATAAATACTACTTATATGTTAAATGTATATTTACATGTACAGTGTATCTTATAAATATTCTTTATTATATATTACCAAACAATAATTACAAGCATTGAAAAAAGGTGGATTTTACGCAGGTTAATATACTTGTAGCGCTCCATTCCTTAAAAGTAATGGGCCTTCGGGGCCTTGGCTCCATTACTTTTAAGGAATGGAGCGCTATTCGTACATTAACCCTTATGTAATCTTTAGTCAATATAAGTATAAAAACAATGACCTAACAATTGGGACGTGTATAAACCATGTCAGTCAAAATATGACCCAAAGATAGGTTGTATAGGGAGAGGGCTAAAATAGGCTATGCCTGCTGCCTAATCCCATTCACTTCATGTGAATAAAATTATGTATAAATAAAAAAAAAAGATAGGTTGTATTTGCAGAGTCAATTATTACAGAAATAATTAAACTTGGGAGATTACTGTATACAGGGAAATTTTACCCCCATTTTATATCCACCCCTTTTGCCCTATTCATAGGTGGGCCAATTTAAAACGGGGTGAATTTCAAGAACACGTACAGTATAATTTCCTAAACAGAATTGTGACTGGGCAAATGTAAAATAGGGCAAAATTGGTTGCAAATGTGAAAGGGTGAATATAATACAGGGTGAAAATAACCCTGTATACAGTATGGAAAGCCCTGTAAATCACTTAATTATCTTTAATAGGTATAGCTGCTCCAGTTTAAAGGATTGTATTTAGAATAGGTCTTGCATACAGAATAACTTGGAGGACAAATTAATAATTGAAAATGTCTGATATCTTTGAAAATCTTCCTTACTCTTAAGTGTCAAGCAAATAAAGTCATGTATTTTAATTATTAGCAAAGAGATTTCTCCTTGGTTTTAAAATTCAGGTAACATTGGGTTGGTACACATTACAGTATGGAGTAATTGAGCTAAATTAATTATAGCCTAAGAAACACAAGGGCAAGCCCAAATAATACTCAGATAACAACAAGGGCAAGCCTTTTTCTGATATATCACCAGTATATAGGATCTATTGTTAATTTGATAATTACTAAGCATTTTTAATTCTTTTGTACCAGATCACCTCTATCTTAAATATTTTATACTGCTGAAATTGATATGATATGTTTTGCAGGGGCCTTTCGATGGTATATTAGCATTTAGTCAAGGGGCAGCTATGGCTTCATTAATTTGTGGACTGAAAGAGCAAGACCCAGGTTTGAATGATGAAAGGGCGTACTGCATTAATTCTTATGTATCTATCTTAAAAAAAGCTTCTTTGAAGTGTTTTCAGATGGACCATAATTTATTGTAATTTTCATAGAGTAAAGAATTCTGTAAATTTGAAAATACAGATATAGCAAAGGTAGGGGAAAGGTTCAAAATTCTTATTAGTGTAAAAGTAGTTGTCAAAACTATCCTGGTTTGAGGTTTGATAAAGAATGATTTAGAGGTGCAATCCTATTACTGGTAGTATCATAAACAAAATATATCATGTCCTGTGAATTAAATGTAAGTTACTGTGAATTAAGTTGAACTGTGTTCACACGGAGAATGTAATGCCAGTGAGTTTAATCTGAATTAATTAACTGCACATCAAAATGCTTTGCATTTACTCCCTGTGAACATTAAGCGAAGCCAATCTGAATTAAATTTTGAGGCATGTGTAATAGCAAAATTAAGCCACATGCCATATGTTTATGGTCAGATATAAGTACAAATGCTATTTATTGAGTGAAAAACAAAAGAAAATTAGTAAATTAATTAAGGTTAACACTAAAATTGTGTACAGACACAATGACATTATATTAAATATATTACCTGCTTTGCATAAGGCGTCATATTTCGCAAATGACATCATATTAGCCTTTATGTAGAAAAATTTTTAATGCGCATTGGTTTGCTTCAAATTAACTGTTATGTGAACACAATTTAATGTATGTGAACACAATTTAATGTATGGAATATATTCCATTTACATGTATATTTGTCAGGCTCCCTCTTCAATGGTAAGGAATACAGGTGTAATTTTTTGGTATGGTCATAATGCATATCATTTACAGTTTATTGATTCCTTTTCCAGAAGGTCCATTCCAATTTGACTTTGTAATACTTGTTGCTGGATTTAAAAGTCGCCAGAAACAACATGAAAGTATATACAAAAAACCAATAACAACACCATCCTTACATGTTTTTGGAGACTCTGACAAAGTTATACAAAAAGGTAACATCTTTAAAAAAAAGAATAACACTTTAATACAATGACATAATAGTGTAACAATGATACTGACTTATTTATGAAAAGGTTTGATACATTTTTATTCCAAATGTGAAGAGATCTGTTATTATTGATTAGATTTTGCAAGAGCTTATAATTGCTTTGCTTGTCTTTGATTATAGTAATTTTTGAATGATAAATATCTGTTTTGTTTTGCTAAAAAAAAAATGAAATTAAAGCTTTTTGTCAAAAATTTCTTAGAGTATAAAAAAGTTCAAGTGAGCTTTTCTGATCTTCATCTGCAGTGTCGTTGTTGACGTAAACTTTTCACAATTTTATCTTCTTCTCCAGGGGCCCGTTTTACAAAATTTTAACGAATTTACAACTAAGACGAATGCTACAATGCATCCTTGGACAAAGTGGATTCAAGTTTGTTCACATGAAGGGCAACACATTCTTTCAAGGGGATATAATTAAGAATTAGTGTAAATGTCATGGCATCTTTTAAAAATCTTCAACTAAAAACTTAAGTTGGTTGTAAAATCTTACAAAACTTATGTTTCTGTTAAAAATTGTTTGCATAAAGATATCTTTCTAAATTCTTTTCAAAAAGATTAAAACCATTTTCAAAGCAATGCAAAAAGGAAAGTTATAACATAAAAACATTTTGATCTTAGTTGTAAGTTCTTTTGTAAAACGGGGCCCAGAACCACTGGACCAATTTGAACCAAACTTGCCCCAAAGCATCCTTGGACAAAGTGAATTCAACTTTATTCACATGAAGGGCCAAAGGTTGTTTCAAGGGGAGATAATTAAGAATTAGTGTAAATTTCATGGCATCTTTTAAAAATCTTCTCATGAACCACTGGGACAGAAAGCATGAAACTTACTGGAAAGCTTCAATACATAGTGTAGATTCAAATTTGTTCAAATCATGACCCCCAGGGGTAGGGTGGGACCTCAACAAGGGATCAAAGTTACATGTATACATAGGAATAAATAGGAAATATCATTGACTAGAAATATGTCCATAGGACATGAATGCCCTGCCGAGGGTATATTAGTAATGCAACATGAAAATTTGTATTAGAGTATGAAATTTGATGAGAATATCTTGAATAGTTTCTTTAAAATTAAAATCGAAATCTAAAAAGTTGGATATTAGATGATAAATTCTCACCAAATAATGTTTAAGTGCGTAAGCTTACATAAATATATCTTAAATGGTTTCTTTAAAACTAAGCAAAATGCAAATTTAAGAAAAGTAAGCTCAAGGTCAAAGGAAAGTTCAAGGTCAAACGTTTTTGATGCAGTTGAATAGTTCTCACAAAGACGTATCAGCATATTAAGTTTGATAAAAATATTTTGTATGGTTTATTTAAAACTGAGCTAAACAATAATTTAAAATAAATGAAGTTAAGGTCAAAGGAAAGGTCAAGGTCAATAAATGTTGATGCAGTTGAAAAGCTTACATCAGTATGTATTAGCATATGAAGTTTGATGAAAATATTATGAATGGTTTCTTTAAAACTGAGTTAAACACAAATTGAGAAAAGTAAAGTCAAGGTCAAAAGTGTTGATGCAGATGAATAGCTTACATCAGTACGTATCAGCATATGAAGTTTGACACTAATTTAAGAAAGGAAAGGTCAAGTTTGACGCCACCACTTGCCGGTTGAGAGCTGCAAATTCTGACCACAATACTCGGCTTTCAGGACCATTGAGCAGTGAGGGATCTTTTTTGTGCCAGCACCTACTGCGACACAGGACCTCAGTTTATACGGTCTCATCCGAAGGACTGGTCACCACGTTCCCACAGTGGATTCCAACCCACGACATAAGGATCAGCTCCTTACTCCGCGACTCTAGAGCAAATGCTATGCGGGTGATGTCCCGTTTCATAGAATAGCTTCTATATCACCGATACAAGTCCAAAATCTTTCTGCCCCTAAATCCTCACAAGCGAGTATATAACAGGCAGAATTTACGAGTTAATGCTTATATTCGAAATCTCATCATATTATCATTTATCATAACCTTTCGAAACATAGACAAGATTAAGTTATCTTTTTTTTAGCTCTTCTGAGCCAAAGGCTCAAAGAGCTAATGCTATGGCCATTTGTGCGGTGTGCGTAAACTTTTTAGAATATGGGCCATAACTCAAGAACCCCTTGGCCAATTATTGTCAAATTTGTCACAGGGTATCCTTGGCCCAAGGGCTCCCGTTTATACTAAAACTGGGGTTGTGACCCTTTAACAAGGGGAGATAATTAGGAAAATAGAAACAAAAGTACTGGTTGCTAAAAAATCTTCTTCTCAAGAACCACTGGGCAGATTATCACCAAACTTACACAAAAGGATGAGGATATGTTGTAGATTAAAATTTGCACGGGGATTTACCCTGGGGCAAAGGGCGTGGTCCCAAGGTCACTTCAAAGTTGACCAAAAATTACATTTTATTAAAATGTTGATATTTTGCTTACTATAAGGACTAGGATCATCAAATCTTGTCAGTTGGTGCATCTAAGGACCTCATATCATGTTGACTCAAAAGTAGGTTACGGTGACCTACTTTTTAAATTTTGCGGCCATTCTTTTTCAAAATGATTTAGAGGCATATTTTGAACAATTTAAGGCCTATGATCATCAAACTTTGTCGGTTGATGCATCTTGGGTCCTCAAAGTACGTCAACTAAAAAGTAGGTCACCTTGACCTACTTTTTGAATTTAATGGCTAATCTTTTTTAAAACAATTAAGGTCATTAATTCGAATACGGGGAGGCTTAGAATCATTAAATCTTGTAAGATGATGCATCTTGGGGCCAAAAAACATAATTATTAAAAAGTAGGTCACAGTGACCTACTTTTTGAACTTTGCAGGCATTCGATTTCAAAGCATTTTAGAGGCATAATTTGGACATTTTAAGTCCTATGATCATAAAACTTTGTAAGTTGATGCATCTTGGGTCCTCAAAAAAGGTCAACTGAAAAGTAGGTCACCGTGACCTACTTTTCAATTTATATGACTATAATTAAATATTTCAGGTACTAATTGGCTTAGAATCATCAAACTTTGTCAGTTGATGCATCTTGGGTCTTCAGGGAAGGTCGACTAAAAAGTAGGTCACAGTGACCTACTTTTGAAAATTTATGGCGTTAATTAAATATTTCAGGTACTAATTGGCTTAGAATCATCAAACTTTGTCAGTTGATGCATCTTGGGTCTTCAGAGTAGATCGACTAAAAAGTAGGTCACCGTGACCTACTTTTGAAAATTTATGGCTTTAATTAAATATTTCGGGTACTAATTGGCTTAGAATCATCAAACTTTGTCAGTTGATGCGTCATGGGTCTTCGGAGTAGGTCGACTTAAAAGTAGGTCACCGTGACCTACTTTCGGAAAATTTATGGCTTTAATAAAATATTTCGGGTACTAATTGGCTTAGAATCATAAAACTTTGTCAGTTTATGCGTCATTGGTCCTCGGAGTACAGCAACTGAAAAGTAGGTCACGGTGACCTACTTTTGAAAATTTATGGCTTTAATAAAATATTTCGTGTACTAATTGGCTTAGAATCATAAAACTTTGTCAGTTTATGCGTCATGGGTCCTCGGAGTACAACAACTGAAAAGTAGGTCACGGTGACCTACTTTTGAAATTTTATGGCTGTATTTAATATTTTCAGGAATTATTTGGCTTAGAATCGTCAAAATTTGTCAGTTGATGCATCTTTGGTCCTCGGAGTAGGTCGACTGAAAAGTAGGTCACTGTGACCTACTTTTGAAAATTTATGGCTGTAATTAAATATTTTGGGTACTTATTGGCTAGAATCATCAAACTTTGTCAGTCGATGTATCTTTGGTCCTCGGAGTACAGCAACTGAAAAGTAGGTCACGGTGACCTACTTTTGAAAATTTATGGCTTTAATTAAATATTACAGGTACTAATTGGCTTAGAATCATCAAACTTTGTCAGTTGATGCATCTTGGGTCCTTGGAGTAAAACAATTGAAAAGTAGGTCACTTTGACCTACTTATAAAATTTTATGATTATAATTTTAAAAAATATTTTAGGTATTAATTGGCTTAGAATCATCAAACTTAGTTGATGGGTCCTCAGAGAATGACAAGTGATAAGTAGGTCACCATGAGCAACTCTCAGGTACTAATTGGCTTAGAATCATCTTGGGTTCTCAGAGTGTGAATTGGAATTTCAAGGGTTTATGTAAATATACAGGATACTTCGAGGCTTCAAATAGAAGTGATAGGTTGTACAGTTAATCAGAAGAGCGATTCAAGGCCCATGGGCCTCTTGTTTTGTTTTGCAAACTGTATGAGGGAAGCGAAAAATATCAAGAGTTTTAGCACTCTGTTGGCTATTGTCTTGTGACAGCAGATGTGACCCCTTAGAGAACCCTATATGTCCAAAGGCCATATTCACCGAGCATACACCTGCATGTATATTTCAAAGTATAAGAACCCTTGATAAAACTGCTTTCAAATTCATAAAGTTGTTTAATGAATCTATAATTATAAACAAAAGAAAAAATGTTAATTATTATGCTTTAACGTGTATGACGTCATATTGATGATTAATATGCTTCAGGAACAGAAAATGTGTTTTTAGAGTTCAATATATTCAAATTTATTGATGTTTAATGGTTAAATGAAAATATTACTTCAAAGCAACAAAACTTAAAATTTAGTCACATTTTTATTTTGGGGGTTGGGTGAAAGGGATGGGTGGGTATTATCCCTTTTTGATTGATGTTTATACATGTACCTTAATATTGCCTGATTGTACTTTATGAACAAAAAAACCTGTACATCAGCACTGAGTTTAATCTACTCCAAGACAATTAACTTTACAGACAGACAGACGGCAATTATAGTTTAAATTTTCCTTCTTAATTTGTCTATGAAATCCATATTTTCACTGTATAAATCAAATTTCCATACAAATTTATTTCAAAATCTGAGAAAATTTATGAATTTCTTAAGCTCTT